CCCTAGGAGGCCTTGCCCACTTCCGAGGGGGCCCGTCGGTTGCATCACGGTCGATGACAGGAAGACCAGTAGGTAGAGGGGGGGAGGAGGGAGGAGGAGGAGGAGGAGAAGGAGGAGGAGGAGGAGGAGGAGGAGGAGGAGGAGGAGGAGGAGGAGGAGGGGGGAGGAGGAGGAGGGGGAGGAGGAGGAGGAGGGGGAGGAGGGGGGAGGAGAGGACGACGTCGACGACGACGTCGACGACGACGACGACGACGATTGGCAGGCGGCGGGTGCGAAGGAACCCCCGTGACGATCAGGACAAGAAAGTGTGCGTGACGTGAGGCCGGGGACGTTGGTTTGAGGAAGAGAAGGCGGCAGAAGGAGGAGGAGGAGGAGGAGGAGGAGAGGGAAAAAAATGGGGAAGGTGGTGAAGGATCTGGAGGCGCTCCTGTTGTTCCTAGAGGCCCAGCTCCACAAGGTGCTCTAGGGGGACCCCCAGGTATGCCCACGGAGGCACAACAAGCGGCGGCCCAAGCGGCTGTTGTCCCTGAAGGTGCTGGAGAGCGTCAGGGTATGCAGGGTGTTAGCGACGACGCCCATGCATACCCTGACGCTCATCCAGCACCTTCAGGGACAACAGCCGCTTGGGCCGCCGCTTGTTGCGCCTCCGTGGGCATGCCTGGGGGTCCCCCTAGAGCACCTTGTGGAGCTGGGCCTCTAGGAACAACAGGAGCGCCTCCAGATCCTTGGACCTCATCTGTTTCATCTGCATGCATATGGGAATCTCGGAGGATTGAGCGGCGCCGCGCTGGGCGCGACGGAGGCGGAGATGGAGGTTTTTTGGCTGCCTCCTCCGCCTAACTCTTTCATGCGGAGGTGGAGGTTTTTTGACTGCCTCCTCCGCGTACCTCTCTCCCTCTCTCTCTGTTTCCCTCCCTCTCTCTTTCTCTCTCCCTCTCTCGCTCTGTTCCCCCGTCTCGCTCTCTCCCTCTCCCTCTCTCTCAGTCGTCGTCGTCGTCGTCGTCTGCGTCGTCGTCGTCGCCGTCGTCGTCGTCTCCGTCGTCGTCGTCGTCGTCGTCGTCGTCACTGTCGCAAGCGTTTAAGACGAGTGTCCGCGGCGCCAAGGCGAGAGCCCCATTTTGAACACCAGCCGCCCTCTACCCGTGCAACTGTGACAGACTTGGAAGACGAATGTCCGCGGCGCCAAGGCGAGAGCCCCATTTTGAAAACCACCTGCCCTCCACCAGTGTAGTTGTTGCAAACTGTGTGCAGCACTTCACCTTCGACGCTGCGGCCGCTGGCAAGGCACACAACAAGAACGACGACCACACGCGCGTGCACATGAGCTGTCGTCTTCCGGCGCATATGGCAATGTATTCCCGCTCGCGGTTTTCGGCCGGTCGGCGCCCGCATCCGCCCTTGCGCCGCCTCATTCGTTGGGTGGGCTGTGCGGGATTCGCGACATATGTGGCCTTGTACACGCGGCGCGAATGACACTTGTTTGCAAATATAGAATGTGACGTGCGCGGTGCAAACCATGCGGTGCAAACCTATATTTTCCGAACAGCACGTCGAAATGGGCGGGCCAGCAGAGGATTCAGAGGGGCCCTGTAGCCATTTCTGGTTCGAGCGACGATGAAGAAAAAATATGCCCGCGCAAGGAATCGACAGCGCACAAAACAGAACGGGTACGCCCGCGGGGGCAAGAAACTGCGACCGCGGCCGCCGCTGCGCCGGAGGCCGGCCGCCGCGGCGGCACCAGAGGGGGGGCGCCAGGCGGCTCCAGCCTACGGCGGTGGAGCTGGGCCGTGCCCGGTGCGCCCGAGGGAAACGCTCGCGGGGAATGCGGGAGGCGAGGTTGGAACCGCGGCCATACGTCATCAGCTACAGCCTGGTCACAACTTGCACATGGGACGCGCCGTGGCCGCGGGCTCTGGCGCTGCCCCGCCAGATGCGCGATGTGGAGCTGGAACCGCAGCACAACGTCATCAGCTACACCCTGGGCACCAGGAGTTACGCGGAGGACTAGGAGCGGCAGCGGGCTCGGGCGCTGCTCAGCCAGATGCGGGAAGCTACGTTGAAGCCCCAGCCCCGAAGAATCAGCCACTGCCAAGGTCTCATCACGAGCGCGAAGGACGAGCAGCGGCAGCGGGTTCCCACGATGCCCGGCCAAATGCGGGAGGCTACGGTGAAGCCGCCGCCCCACGTCATCAGATGCACCGTGGGCACCAGGACTTGCGCGCTGGACGAGGAGCGGCAGCGGGCCCGAACGGTGGCTTTGGACGCGCCTCGGCTGCCACCTTGCGCTCACGCGAGCGCACGCCGCCACCGGAGCGAAGGGATGCGATGTTGCGCTACCCGAGCGAGATCGAGTACTCTGAGAAGTACAGGGACGACAAGTACGGGTACAGGCACGTGACGCTGCCGAAGGCGATCGCCAAGGACATGTACAAGCTGACCAAAGGGAAGCGTCTCCTGGATGAGGACGAGGGGCGGCAGCTGGGAGTGCAGCAGAGCAAGGGCTGGGCGCACTACCACATCCACCGCCCGGAGCCGCACATTCTCCTATACCGCCGCCTGCTGGGTACGGACCCGCGGACGGGCAAGGTGACCGAGGGCCGCTGAGTGCGAGGGGCTCGGGCATGTCCTTGCTGCCGCGATTGGGATATCAATAGTGAGGTCGATGGTGAGACCGATAGTAAGACCGATAGTGGGGTCGATAGTGAGACCGATAGTGAGATCGATAGGGAGATCGATCGTCAGATCGATGGTGACCCCTCTCACCCCTGCACTCCCAATTCGTGGATATCGATAGTGGGACCGATAGTAAGATCGATAGAGAGGTCGATAGTGGGACCGCTAGTGAGATCGATAGTGAGATCGATCGTATGATCGATAGTGAGATCGATGGTCAGATGGATCGAGTCAGATCGGTAGTGAGATCGGTAGTGGGATAAATAGTGAGACCGATCATGACATCGAAAGATAAATCGATAGTGATATCGATAGTGAGAGCGATCGTGGGAGCAAAGCGTTGGAAATTGTATACACACACATGGGCGCCACCAGCGGCGAAAACATTGTTTGGGGCATTTCTCTGTGTGCGTACTCCCGACCCACCTAGACCCCCGGTTATTCCTGCTCCTGGTCCGTATCATGTAAACCCTATCAATATCCTCTGATATTTATCTTTGCTCCACCCCAATCTCGCTCCATCTCTACTCGTCTTTGCTTCGTCCCATATGGCCCCCCTCTGCTCTTTCCTCCCCCCCGAGGGGGCGGGCACGGCGCGTGTCCCGGAGTCTGCTCGCGCCCCGCTTTGTTTTGAACAGCCGAGCCTTGGAAAAGAACGCCGCAGACCAGCCCCTAGGAGGCCTTGCCCACTTCCGAGGGGGCCCGTCGGTTGCATCACGGTCGATGACAGGAAGACCAGTAGGTAGAGGGGGGGAGGAGGGAGGAGGAGGAGGAGGAGAAGGAGGAGGAGGAGGAGGAGGAGGAGGAGGAGGAGGAGGAGGAGGAGGAGGAGGAGGGGGGAGGAGGAGGAGGGGGAGGAGGAGGAGGAGGGGGAGGAGGGGGAGGAGGAGGAGGAGGACGACGTCGACGACGACGTCGACGACGACGACGACGACGATTGGCAGGCGGCGGGTGCGAAGGAACCCCCGTGACGATCAGGACAAGAAAGGGTGCGTGACGTGAGGCCGGGGACGTTGGTTTGAGGAAGAGAAGGCGGCAGAAGGAGGAGGAGGAGGAGGAGGAGAGGGAAAAACATGGGGAAGGTGGGGCGGCGGAGCGAGGAGGAGGAGGAGGAGGAGGAAGAGGAGGAGGGGGAGGAGGAGGAGGAGGAGGATCGCGCAGTCAACCCCGCGACACTTCCAGCAACAGGCCGCGTTGCGCGTAGGGAGCGTTCGCTTACATATCTCAGGGGCTTCGCCGCTTGCCGCGCCACCTTCGCCATGGCCTGGCGTATCAGTGACATAGGCTGTTTTGGGGTCGCGCCGTGGCTTCAATGGAAAACGTCGGGTCTTGCGGGATCGAAGATCAAGGAAAGTTTGGTATCTTAAAGAACCATGGGGGGTTGGAGGGTCCATTTTGTGCTGCCCGAGAACTCTGCGGTAGCCCGAGGGTCCTCATAGTCATGTTTATCGCGCGAGTGGCGCGCCATGGAGGAGCGAAATATCGGAAGGTGTCAAGACACATCGTGCGGCATCAGGCGGATTTTCAGGTGTTCAACGTCCCGTATTGGTAATCCCCCGAGACCCCCTATAGCTCTCCGAAAGGCCGCGGGGGGCGGGGGAGTTGAGACAGCGGGTGCTATATGTCATCGGGACATTGAGCCACAACGTAGTTGCACGGCTTGGAGGCCTCAGATGGGGCGGCGGACTGTCAATTAGAAAAGCCGTTGTCCCACTCAGTGGCCCGATGGGGTTTCTCTCACATGTTTCGGGTTGGCCAACGTGAGAGCCAGGGATGCGTTGTGGGATGGGCGGCGTCTTGGGAGCCGCCCGATGACAGACTACAGTAGGTACCTGGCCCCCCGCCGCGAAAAACAATCGCGAACATCATGCCAACAGATCGTTCGAGGGAGAGGTGTCATGAGTGCCCCAGGAGCCAGGGGAACCCCTGGAACCCAAACCAGAAAATACATTTCGAGGTAAAGCACGTGTTCGAGCGTATACAAATCCAAAAATGCCACCGCCATGTGAAACAGCAGCGAAGCGTGGTTCGTTGAAGTGCGCTATTGTTCGGGCTAGTGGCCGGATGTCTGAGTCGTACAGGTGCGTCTTGACATTATGGTCGCAAACGTGGGCACGCGCACAAATACAAGCCCGCTAGAGCGGCTGTCCACTTACTGTCCACTCCACCGCTGCTGAGCCATCGGTGCTTGCAGTGTGATTTGAGCGCCCCTCTGGTTTGCATTTGCATGATTCGTGACGCTTCGTCGCTAACGCATTGCGTCCACTCCGCTATGTCAACGCACCTCTGTAAGGAGCTATGCTTGTAGTATTCCTGCCCGTGCCCCCATGTCGACAATCACCTGTGTAGCCATTTTGGCTCAAGGGTCCTTGGCGCCAGTCAGACTTGCAGGCGCCCGCGCTTCCACCATCTTCGGCGCACTCGAGTTGAGGTGCTCCACCGGCGACGCCATGGGGAAAGGAGCCGCGGCGAAGAAGGGTGATGCAGGCAAGCCGAAGGTCGAGCATTCGTGGTGTCTCGATTGGGACGCTTGCGAGTGTGAGCAGTGCGAGCAGAACACCCACCAACTCGACCGCGACAGCCCGCAGTACAACCCACACTACCTCCGACGGCACAAATCCAGAGAGACGCCCGAAGGCTGCAAACCCTCAGGTAAGGAGTGCTCAGGCTGCTTCGGCGTGCGAAGGGTCCGTTGCAAGGATGAAGACGGCAACATCAAGTCGATGGTTGAGGTGAAAAAGGAGCGGGAGAAGAATCCAGAGTTCGATGAGAAGTGGACGAAATTGAGGAAGGACAAGGTCAGCGGGGCCAAGTTCGAGAACGACGCCGCCAAGCACGAGGTGACGAAGGCGGACACTGCCTACGAGGAGGACTTCGACGAGGGCACGCGGTACTCGTTGGTCGGGTACATCAGGCTGCGCCGCCAGCAGCACGAGGTTGACATGGAGGACCCCGTCGCTGTCGAGAACCACGTCACCAACGTGCTTCAGAAACCGGTCAGTGTTGTACCCCCCCGAACACATTTTGATGGACAGGCTGATGAGTCCCAACATAGGCGTGCCATCCCGAGGCGGCTATCCCACTTCATGGGATAATTGGTTTGTGGAGACACGTGGGCGCGGCCTGCCGTCCCCGCGTGGTTCTCGCATGTGTTGTTGTAGCCGCTGGTTATCCCATGAAGCGGGATAGCCGCCTGGCGAAGGCTCGGCTAAGTTTTGGATTCGTTGCGACTCCGTTCTTATTGTGATATTGTGTTTGTGGGGGGTACCTGATTGCCCAGGTGGTCGTCGACCAGCGTGCGGGGAAGAAATACGTCGAGGTTTTCGACGTGGATCCCGATCACGAAGGGGTGAGGTTCCGTCGGGGGCGGCGGCACAGCGCTGAACTGACCAAGAAGGAGGGCTACGACAACAAGGGCGACGCAAAGGATCGATTCCAGGAGCTCGAGAGCAAGGTGGGCCCAGATCGCACGGGCCTCCGGCGCCTCCGCGGCAAAGCGCCGGCGCCGATGGCATCTGGGGGCCCGCCCCTCGGCGGCCATGGGGCGGCGTTTGAAGCGTCGGATGGCGAGTCCGCGGCGCCCCCCGCGCAGGGCAAAGCTGCGTGCGACATCCTTGCGGGGCGGGCAAGTCTGTCAAGGAGGGCCCCCTCGCCCGCGCCGTCGCTCTCTCCTGCTGCCGCGGGCGGCGGCGGTAGGGCCTCCGCCGCCGGGTCTGCGAGGGGTCTGTCGCCAGTCCAGGCGTCGGCGACTGGCCGCAAGCGCGCCAGCAGCAAGCAGGGCATCATCGAGGAAGCGCAGGGGCTTCTGAGCAAGACGACGGAGACCCAAAGCTGGGCGAAGCATTGGGAGATGCGTCAGAAGACGAGGGGCTTCGAGGGGCTGTCCACGCGGCTGGTCACCAGCGGTCGTTCCTGCGGGAGCTTCCTGGGCGATAGCGCGGCCAATGACGCATCTTCATCGCTGTTCACTTTGGAGGAGCGGCTCAGGCATCGCCAGCAGTTCTTCGAGAAGGCTAGGACCGATTTCCCCAGCCTGTGCAAGGGCATCGCCGGTTCGGACACGGTGAAGCCGATCGAGGAGGCCCCCCCGCAGCTTTTGACGAGCATCTTGACGATGTGTGCGCAACAGTCTTTCGTGGAGCCCATGCGGCCAGACCTGGCCGCCGCGTTCGGCAGTTTCCTGAAGTACCGCGACGGCGGCATCAGCGCGGACGGCCAGCTCTGCATGTCGGCGTTGCCTGGAGCTGCAGCGATGCACGCGCAGCGCGGCCTCGTCCTGAGTTTCATCGAGAGGATCTTCAAGCTCCCCGAGGTGGATTCCATCGCCTGCGCCACGAAGGTCTTCGAGTGCATCGGCATCGACTCGTTCGACCCCGTAAACATCGACTTCAAGAAGGAGGGCGTGCTCCCGAACGGCCTGTTTCCCCAATCGTGCATGGACTTGGGCGCGGTGTACTTCTGCGGCATCGCCCTCGACGCCGCGAAGAAGGGCGGCGAGCTTCGGGGCGAGGCCGCGGTCAAGGTCTACCAGATCGTCAGCGCGGCGGGATCCCTGAGCGCGCGTGTGAAGACGCACTTCCGGCACCTGCGTGGGCTGGCCCTCCAGCACGGGCACGCCGCGGGGGACATCATGCGCAAGGCCCACGGCGAGCACAAGTCGCGGTTGGACATGCTCCAGACTGCCGAGGTGTCCGTCGCCAAAGCCGCCGCCATTGCCTTGCAGACTGCGCTGGAGGGCCCGGAGCCATTCAAGAACGCCTTCGACACCGTGGCAACTTTGTTGAACGAGGAGAAGACGGAGAGGGACTTGACCATGTTCGGCTCCGTATTCTGCACTCCTGGCGTTGCAGAGGGTCGCGGGCACGGTGACGTGAACCCTTTCGAGCTCGCCCGCCAGCTCGGCACCGTGCCCACGAAGGCGGTCGAGATGGCACTGAAGAGCTCCGGGTACAACGTGGACGCCGCGAAGAGGATCTGCGCCGGGACGGAGTCCAACTCTGAGGGCGCGCCCCTGGACGAGGACTCGGACGAGTTGAACGCGTTTGAGTGGCAGTGCCGGGTGCTCGAGGCAGCTGGGCAGCCTGAGCGGGGAGTGGTTGATTGCAGATTCGTCGTAGTCTGGCCCCCCTTCCCCACAGCCCCCGAACAGCAAATTTGTGTTGTCGTATTTCGGTATTTCCCGATCCAAGTTTCGACGCGTCTCCGCGCGTTTCCCAGCCCCCAGTCATGCGTTGCCACGTGGACGGCTTGCTATCCCACTGCGTGGGATTGAAGATGGCGCCCCATGCGTTATCCCATGAAGTGGGATAGCCGCTGGGGCGAGGTCGTGCACTCTCGGGCAGATGGTGTTTGAGAGGTTATCCCGTTCAGTGGGATAGAACATAGCGCCCGAGACTCTATCCGACTACGGGATGCCCGCTGGCCAATGTCTGTTCCGCAGACGCCTTCTGCCTTCTGAATTATCCCGCTCTCTTGCCAGGTTGTGAAGCAGTACGAGGTGGGAAATCAGTCGAAGGCGCTGTCGAACGAGGCCGCTGCCCACCTGGAGACGCAGCGCATGGCGTGCGAACTGGCCATTGCCAACCGCAAGGGGGAGAAGGATCGCCTCCAGATGGTCCAGGGCTGGGCGAGCGTCTGGAAGCTTCGAGAGCGCATCGCCCGCACGGGCTCCTGTCTGGCCCCCATCCGACACGGGATGCGACGTCCAAGTGTTCGTGCACAAGGCTGCCGCCTCGACGGCAATCGGGGACGCCATCGTCCGATGGGTTCTCGACTTGGTCGTTTCGCAACTTTCTGGCGTCACGGACGCAGTGGCTTCGGCAGCTATCCATGAGTGCTCTGCTCTTTCAGGCGTCCTGCCAGCCGGCGTGCAGCCGCTGATCAAGGGCTTCCACACCATCGAGCGCATGCGCGAGGTGACCGGCAAGGGCGAGAACTGCGGCACTTTGGAGCTCAACGACTTAGCCAAATCAATCACCGATTTGAAGAAGGACGCGGCGGACTTGGTGAATCGCCTGCCAATCGTTGCCGCTGACGCCGACAAGGTGTTCAACTTATGGAACTCGAGTGTCACTGCTCTGACGAACAAGCTCTCATGCGGCAGCCTGCTGGACGATTTCGCCGAGCGCTACGATATCACCAAGCACGTGGAGACCTGGGATTTCCAGGGCTGCGAACTGGTCACTGGCGACGTCGCTTCGCCCGAGCAGAAGTCGGACATCCAGAACGTGGATCAACGCATCACGCAGTTCCCGACCAACCGGGTTGCCGCCGAGAAGCTCACGGCGACGCTGGGCTCTTGGGCGCCAGCAGAGGTGCAGGGCCGCTGGGCGTCATTGCACAGTTCGCTGCCGACATTGCAGGAGAAGGTTCACTCCAGCACGAAGTTGATGGCCCTTCTCTTGCTCGTGCCGTACCTGCACAAGCGCATTGATCATGCGAATACCCTGAAGTACGTCACGGGGGTCCTCAAGCTCCCCGTGGACCAGTTGCCTACGAATGTGCGCGACAAGCTCGGCAACAAGGTGGAGGCCAAGGGCGCCGTGAGCGCGCCGCAGCCTGAGGGGGCACCTAAGGACTCCCTCGCGGCAGGCCCCCCCGCCAAGAAGAAACTCAAGCTTTCGACGGCGGCTTAGGTCGCCTCCGAGGGGTAGGGGCGAGTGGGAATGTCGCTTTTGACATTCGGTGGGGGGCCCAGAAACGAGTTTGTGTTGCGATGGAGCATACGGCAAAAACGCAGATCAGCATTGCGATCACGCTTAGGCTTGCAGTATCTACGCACTCTCGTCTATACTATATGTTAGCCAGCGTGTGCCCCAAACAATGTGTCCCAGCATGCTAGGTGACGCAATGCACGTGGTGCAATCACAGTGGTGCATGCTATGTGGTGCCAGCCATGTGGTGCAAGGCAAGCGGTGCATGCTATGCGGTGTAACCTATGTGTTGCAAGCTATGTGGTGCAAGCGCTGCGGTTCAAGCTACGCGGTGCAACCTATGTGGTGTAAACTATGCGTAGCAAGCTATATGGTGCGAGCTACGCGGAGCAATCTACGTGGTGCAGGCTATGCGGTGTAAGCGATGTGGTGCCAGCTATGTTCTGCAAGCTGTGTGGCGCATGCATGTGGGGCAAGCTACTTGATGCACGCTATGTGGTGCAGGCTATGTGGTGCAAGCTACGCGGTGCAATCTATGTGGTGCGGCGACGGCGACGGGCGCCACGGGGCGGCACGGGCGGCGAAAGCCGACAGAGGTGCCGACGGGCGACGGGCGGCGACGGGAGGCACGGGGCGGCACGGGCGGCGAAAGCCGACACGGCTGCCGACGGCGACGGGCGGCGACGAGCGGCACGGGGCGGCACGGGCGGCGAAAACCGACGCGCGTGTCCAGATGGTTGTGCGAAGTGAGACCCCCTTTGTGCAATCACTGTTGGGGGAATCCTGTCCTTGCGATGCAGTGCAGTTGCGAGTGCATCGAGGGATATGAGGCAACGGAAGGGGCACGGCAACTCCCACTAGCGCAAGGCATCGCCACTGCTCTCATTAGCAGCGCGCCGCAGGAAGGATGAGGCGCGGGACAGCGCGGGCAGAGGGCGGCGGGCGGAACGGCAAGGCGGGGTCGCGACATGCTCCCCCGAGAGACCGCTCGGCAAACTGCGCGGCCGGGTCCTTCGTCAGGCTGGTCTTGTATTTGGACGGAAGGCCGTTTCGGGCACCGAGGGCCACCTAAAGCGATCCGCGGCGGGGAGCTGCCCGAGGATCGGCGTCGAGAGCTCGGGGGCCCCGCAGATCGGAGAAACCAGGAACCGCGACTTTCACCCTTTCCTCGTCCACCCCGCCCATCGTCCTCCTCATCCTCGTCCTCTTGCGTGCCCTTCCTGAATCCGTCGCCCTTTTGGCTCAAATCCGCGGCGTTTTGCTCAGGACTTGGCATTCTGGCGCGGGGTAGTTGCCGCGGCCTCCAAGCGGCGATCCCGCGGCGGAGGGCTATACCTGGGCTGCTCGGGTGGCTTCCCCGGTCCGCGCGGGGCCGCAGTTGGGGACTTAACTGGGCGTTCGTGGGCCGCGGCGGGGTCTTCTCTGGAAATCTTGCGCATTGTATAGGACTGTCTGAGGTTTGTCTTGGCCGTCGAGCGGGCGTGGGGGTCCGTGTTGAGACCTGCTGGGCGCCTGTTTTTGTTTCGTTGAAGTTGTCACGGGCGGTTCGGGGGCCCTCTTGGGCCGTCTTGGCGCCCCGTCGGGCCTGTTCTGGGCCGTGTCGTGTTTTTTTGGTGCCCCCCCCATTGCATTATGGCTTCTTGGGTTTTCCAGCGTGCCTTGCGATACTTCACGGGCCGATGCGCCCGGGGAGTTTGGTGCGTGGAAGCAATTGGCAAATTTGATTTTGCATTTGATTTATCATGTTCTTCGGGTTGCTGTTTTTGGGTTCGCGCGCGGGGCCGCGGTGGCGCACATGTGGTTCCGCCGTCGGTATTCTTGGAAGGCGCGGGTTGCTTCCCGCCGCAGTGGTCTGCCATCTTGGTGGCGTTGGCGGCTTACTTTACCCGTCGCGGCTGCCTCAGGGAACCCCGTGGAGCACCAGAGGTCGTCGGGCCGCCCATGAGGGCTTCTGGAGGGGGGCCGACGCGCGCAAGGAAAACTAATGGGCACGGATGGGGTCCCCAAGAAGATTGCGCGCATTTTGCCAGCGCCCTGCGTTGTAACAGGTTCGCATCGTGCAGGCACGGTGGCGGGTTCCTCCTCGGGGGAAAGCGCGCGAATGCATTGGGCGAGCCGGTGGGGGCCAAAGGGTCGGCACGAGCGCGCCCCCCATTGTGTTGCGTTTCGTTTCGCCGTCGGCCGCTGGCCCGTGCGGGACGTCGCCGAAATGCTTTGGCCCGTCGCGCGGCGAGCGACCGCGCGGCCGCCGCTGCCGCCCTCCGCTCATTGCCCCCTCCCCCCTTCCCCGCCGCCCAGCATTGCTCGCGGCCGCCGCTTCCAGCATCCCGCGCCCCCGACGCCCAAGCCGAATGGGGATATGAGGGCGGGCGGGGAGCGCGCAGGATAATTGCGGAAACAATGTTCAAAAACTGGAATTGCGGAGGTCGAGCAAATCTGGGCGAACTGCTAAAAGCATTTGCAAAGGTTTAGTTTTATATGATCGTTGCGCGCTTCGTTTACGCACCCACTTGTTCACCCTTCCGCGCACCCGTCCCCGCACCCCTCTTCTCCCCGAAAGTTGTCTGTACAAGTTGAGCATACAATTCCTCCTGGGCCTGATTTGGCCCAGTCTGGCGTGCATGGCCCCTTCCTCGGGCCAACGTCGGGGTCTCAAGACCGTGCGGTGGCGGACCGCGCAGTGACCTCGAAATTCCAAGAGACCTCACCGCGCGGTCCGTCACCGCGCGGTCTGTCACGGCACAGTCTTGGGACCTCCGATGCCCTGGTCGCTCGAGACGTCCTCGGAGAACGGCCTGTGTCCTAAATCCGTGCGATGGTCCCGAATCCCCACTGACTCACCCTGAGGTGTGGTCACCAAACAGCCTTGCATCGATCTTCCGAAGACCTCCTGGGGATTGCTTCCGAAAACACAGTATCCAGCACCAACGTTGGCGGCCCCCGCGCTCAAAGCGTGGGTGCCGCCCGAGTTCGCGCGCTCGGCCGTTTGCCGTGGTCAAGCGGATGCCCCGAAGAAGCATTGGGTGTTTTATTCTCTGGGGGCGGCAAGAGGTGGGTGGTGACTAAGGTGAGGGGTGAATGTCATGTCTCGAAGAAGAAAACATCCACATAATCATAATAATTGTTTGGCGCTTCGCGCGGATTTCTTGGATCCGCGCCTGGGCCCCCTGGCGGCGCCTCCGGCGCCGCCCCTGGCGCGCTCCGCGCGCCAGGGAGGGGGGTCCAGCGCGAATCCAAGAAATCCGCGCGGAGCGCCAACAGTTTATGTTTATTTCGTTTGTTCTTCTGCTATTGTCTGGGGCCATGGTATCGAAGACGCCTACGGCGAATCACCGCCGCCCCCTGCATTTCTGGAAGCGCCTATGCGGCCGAACGTTGAGGCCAGACCTGCCAAGCCATCGGACCATGTGTTCCCCGAATCGGTTTGGAAAGCCTTCGGGGAACACGTGGGCACCTTGAAGGTCATCTTGGCCGTCTTGGAGGCCTCTTGGGCGATCTTTCGGCGATTTTTGGGGGCTCTTGGGCCGTCTCGGGCCGTCGGAAAGCCGAAAAGAAGAAAATTACAAAATCCATCAAAAAACCTAAGGAAAATCAATGTTGTTTGCCTCTTCTGGCCTTCCTGGAGGCCCTCTTGGGGGCCTCTTGGGCCCTTTTGGGCCAGCGTCGAGCCAACTTCGGCCATCTTGGTGGGTTCCTGGCACGTCTGACGCCGTCGGGAGCCGTCTCGGGGGCCTTTCTGGGCCAACGGGGGACCCTCTTGGGGCGCTTCGGGGCCGTCTTGGAGGCCATCTTGGGCGTCTTGGAGGCCATTTGGGGTTGTTGGAGGCCTCTTGGGCCGTCTTGGGGCCATCTTGGGGCCATCTTGGAGGCCACTTGGGCCGTCATGGGGCCCTCTTGGGGGCCTTTTGGGCGATCTTGGGGGCCTCTTGGGCCGTCTTGAGCCGTCGGAAAGCCGAAAAGAAGAAAATGTCAAAATCCGTCAACAACCTACGGAACATCAATGATTTTGGCCTCTTCGGGCCCTCCTGGAGGACCTCTCGGAGGCCTCTTGGGCCGTCTGGGAGGCCTCTGGGGGGCCTCTTGGGCCGTCTTGGACTCTCTTGGGCCGTCTTGGAGGCCGCCTTGGACCATCTTGGGCGGACTTGGAGGCCATCTTGGAGGCCATCTTGGGCCATCTTGGCCATCTTGGAGGCCATCTTGGAGCCGTCTTGGGCAGAAAAGTAAGGAATTGAGGTCCGTGGACAAAATCCCGGGACCCCGGCGGGACGGGCCGAAACCCATTGGAAGAGTTTTTTTTGGAAAAAGAACCAAAACCAAAACCGAGAGAATTTGGCACGCCAGGCATCCCTGCGATGAATCGACAGGGGGCGGCGGATATTGTTGCCTTCGGCCCATCCCGCTACCGTGCGGACATCCGAAAGTGGATGCTTATCTTTTTTGACCTTCTTGCATTATCCTCGCCCGATCGACTCTGTGCGGGCTGCTGTGGGTTCTTGGTTGGCATCGTTATGTCGCAGACCATTCGCGCCTCTCTGTGTTCCGCGTTCAGTGTTGGTCCCCGGTAGGAAGCAGGAGGGCAGTCAGGATCTGCAGGGATCGGTATGTCTCCCTTGGCGGTGATGGTGTGCATGTCCCCACGGAAGGTCGCTGAGGATGGCGCCACCCCGCTGACTGTCAAGATTGGCGACCAGGAGCGCGCCACAGAGAGTGTCCTTCCTCTGGGATGCAACTCCTGGAAGGTCAAGTTCTGAATACGTGCTGGTACTCCCCTGGTCGCAACCTGGCCCACTTTGGCGTATTCCCGCTTGTTCAGGCTTAGTCACGCGTAATCTGGCTGCATCCCAGGTTGAATCTGGCCTAATCCTGCTCATTGACCCCTTACTTGGGGTGAATCGTGTTTCATCGTTCTGACGAAGGCCTCCCGTGCCTCCTAACTTCCTCTCGAGGGTCAAGTTCATCGATCGATAGCCCCCCTGCCGCCTCGTCCCATGGCCTCCTCTTCGACCCTAACGGTGTTTTGGCGATGTCGTGGGGCTGTGAGCGTTTCGGCTTCGTTTTGCAGCAAGGGCGGAACGAAGACACATCGTGGGAAAACAAAAAAACGAAAACGAATTTCACGATTTGGATAGAGCCCTAGATGGGAGCGCATTTGCCGTCGAAGAAGGGTTGCTCCCCGTCTTGTGGTGGCAGTGTCGGAGTTGTGTTTTGACATCTGGAGCAGCTATATTACAGAGTGGGCTCGCCTTTGCGTCTTGTTGTTGCCCAGGTTCCCAGCGGGATATATCCACCATATGCTTAAGTTGGAAAGGGTGCGCTTCGTCATCGTGCAGGGATCTGAATGGCAGGACTTGGATTGTAGGTGGTCGCCCTAGGGCTTCCCTGTTCCAGACTGCGAAGGGGGGTGCCATTCAGCTGGCCATCATGTGCAACGACCAGTCCCTCCCGACGCTAAGTAAATTGGTTGCCCTGCCCAGAGGAAGCGGGAGCATTAGGAGGAGGAGGAGGAGGAGGGAAGAGCAGGGGATGAGTTTCACATGTTCTTTGGCTCCGACACGGGAGAGCGCAAGTGCGGGCCAACCACAGTTGAAAGAGTTGTGCGTTCTCCCCCTTTCCGCCCCCGGGGGACCGTTCGGCTCCGACACCACTGGAAATATTGGCGATGCGATGGGTCCACATATGGGGTAAGGAATCCCGGTTTCTCAGTGGCGGCTGGTCGGAAAGACTTGTGGGCCGACTCCTGGTGGCAGAAACTCGATTGCATGTTGCTTGGTACGCGCTTGATCCAAAGTTTCGAGGATGCGGAGCCCCATGTGAGTCTGTTGGCCACCTCCTCTTGGAGTGCCCTGCGCTGCGGGAGACGCTTCTTGACGGTGACGAGGAGGTGCCCATCACAGAGGCTCAGGTTAAATGTCGAGATGTTTTTTGGGCCAGGGCCCGATCGGGCGCCGAAGGATTTCTGATCCTCACAGTTTTGAGCTTTCGGTGGGCATGCCGCTGTTGCCAGGCCCTCGCGTGCAGCCACCTCGGGACCTACCGATTTTCTGGTGGGGTGATTGGACCACCCCCCCGAGCCAGCGAGGCAACGTCGTGTTCACGGACGGCTCGGGGAGTGGTCTAACCAGCCAGAAATTCGCAGCTGCGGATGGGCTTTCGTCCAGATGTCTGGCGCAGGGCTCCCACTGCGCGCCTGCTATGGGCGGCTAGCGGGGCCAAGCCAGACCGTCGGCGAAGCAGAGCGTGTTGCGATGCTGCGTGCGTTGCAAAAGCTACCGTCTGTGGAGATGGTGGTCACGGATCTCCTTGGCCTTGCCCAGGAAGCGCATGCATGGAGTTCGGTCGCCACCAGTTCAGCAGGCAAGCGTTCGTCAGTGTGGCGACAGATCCACGCTGTTGTCGAGTCTGGAGAGCCCGGCCCTGCGGGTGCGGGCGGCTCTGCTTTTCGGGGGGGGGGTCGGCCGCGGCGGGGGTCGTCGACCGTGCCGCGTGGCCTGGGCCGTCGAGCGGAGGGGCCCCGTCGGACCCCCTTGGGCCTGGGGCGTGGGGTTCTGGGGGGCGGGGCCCTGCGGCCTGGGCCTGGCATCGCTCGGACGTGTGCATTTTTTCTCGGCGAGAGCCATTGAGGACTATCCTGGACCATCGAGCAAAAAAAACACGCACGAAACCGAACAATGCACGGGCAATGGACGTCCGAGCGATGGGGAGCGGGCCCTGTTCCACGACCTCGGCCGATCGGATGGCCGAGGTCGACGGCGTCGTTTTCTGCGAACGCCGTGCCTGTCACGTCGGGGAGTCGGGTAAAGTGGTGGCCCTCAAGCGGCCCCGCAAGGGCCCCTCGAACCACTCCTCGACCCTAGCCGTGCAGAAGCACCGCCGGGGGCAAGCCGCCGCGATAGCGGCTCGGTTGTCGGCCCCTCCCCGCCTCACTTCTTTATTGTTAGTGTTTGCGTTCGGGCGACTTGGACTCACTCTTGCTTGTCTCTCTCTTCCCGAGCTGGAACTACGTGTTTTCAGGTGTCCAGGCCACCCCGCTTGATATCGAACACAAGTTTCCCGAGCTGGAACCGCGATCGCGGTCGTCGCCGTCCGCCGTCGTTGTCATCGTCGGCCTTTCGGCCCGCCCTTCCTCGATGCCCTTATCATTTCGCCCTGTTGCGGCACATAATTATTTCATATGGTCTCGACTGCAATCAGCTCTGCGCGAGCAATGCGCCCATGCAGCTCGAGCTTGAGGCCCAGCTCAGTTATGTCAGGATTCGGATACCGATGCCGGGGAAGATTTGATCCACGGCGCAACAGTTCAGATTCGCCCCTTTTCGGTTCGTCCCGCTTCCGAACCGAACCTGATCTTAAGCTCGAGCTGGTCGAGCGACCCGCGCGTTTCGATTGCGGCCAGATTTGAGTTGTGCGATCAGGCAGCTCGAGCTAAGGGTCCAGTTCAGTTCGATCGGGGTTCTGACGCCACGGACGACCTCTTCCACAATGCCATAGAACAGATCTCTCCAACGCGGCATGGCACGCCATCACAGCACAGCACAGCACAGCCCCTGGGAGTGTACATCGCCATCGATACCTTGAGCATTGCAAGTGCCCGTCGTCCAACCATTGTATCTTGAGCACTCGTCCAACCATTGTATCTTGAGCACCTCGCATGCTTCTCATTCCTATATCCCTGTTCCGGGTCCGTTGGTCGATCTTGTTTTCTAGTTTCCGTTCGTGTTGTGGATTGGAGGCCCTCTTGGAACGATTGGGGGTTGCTTGAACCTACGTTGGGCAAAATCGCTCGGCTTGGGCGGTCTTTGGGCTTCTCGTAGAAAATTTACCAGGGACTGACTTCGGGGAAGCGGATGTGGCGTAATGTTTTAGGGATCGTGGCGTTGGGGACGCGAGCAGAGCGTATTTCATTCGAGATAGTGGCATCGACGCGACCACAGCATAATTTTCAAGTGATCGTGGCCTCGGAGAGGGGAACATTCGATAATCTATTGAGGGTCGTGGCCTCGGGGGCGCACGCATCGTGGAATTTACAAAGGATCGTGGCCTCGGAGACGCGAGCATGGCATAATTTACGTGGGATCGTGGCTTCGGAGACGCGAATCGGGTGTAACTTGGAAGAGCTTCGTGGCCTCGGGGAAGCGAACATCGTGTACTTCACTGCGGATCGTTCCCCCGGGAACGCGAACCCAGTGTAATTTGCTAGAGATCGTGGCCCTGGGGACGTGAACATGGCGTAACTTTCTAGAGATCGTGCCCTCGCGAAACGCAAACATTTCGTAATTCACGAGGGATCGTGGCCACAGGTACCCTTGTAGTATTCATGCACGAGGGATCGTAGCCTCGGAGACGGGAACACTGAGCAATTGGCGGAGCATCCAGGCTTCGGGGTCGCGAATTCAATTTGGTTTACCGAATGATCGTGGTCTCGCGACACGCGATTATGGTGCAAGTTCCAAAGCATCGGGACCCAGGGGACGCGGATATTGCGTCATATACAGTGGATGTTGGTTTCGGGGACGCGAGATTCGAGTGGATTATAAGGGATCGTGGCCTCGTGAACGCGAACATTTTGCATTGTACCACGAATCGTGGCCTTGGTGACGCGAGTATTCTATAGTTTCTAAGGAATCGTGTACTCGGGGACGCGAACATTGTATGTTGTACGAGGGATCGTGGCCTTGGGGGCGCGAATCTGATGTATTTCTACATGTCCCACGGCCCCCAGGAAGTCAGAGCGCGCGATTTGGAGACGCCCACGCTGGTTTGGGGTCCCCCCTCCCTCACGCGGGCTTCAACAATTCAAAGTCGGAAGTTGATAGTAGGATCACAACATGGGAGACTTGTTACTGGAGCAGGGAGCAGCAAGCCTCATCCCCGCAGCCTGTGTGCTCCGCAAGGGGGCCGGCAGATTTGCACGCGGCAATGGTCCTCTTGTTGTTCATTTTCCCCCGCCTGCCTCTTCAGCTTGGCATCGCTCGGACGTGTGCGTTTTTTCCTCGGCGTGGACCATCGAGGAGCATCCTTGATCATTTGGCGAAAAAACCACGCACGAAACCGAAAAAAAACAGGGAATGGACGTCGGAGCGATGGCCAGTCAGGGGGCGCCGCGCGGCATTTGCCCATGTGGGGTCGATGTGTGTTCGCCCTGGCATTTTACCACACGGCTGATTCATACAGGGTGCCGAGGGCGATTCGGGTGGAGGTTCTTGGGATGATGCCTCAACCTTAGTGGGCCCTGGAAACGACAGGGCCGTTTTTTTACCGGTTCCGTTTTGCCGTTTTTTTGCCTGTTCCAACGCCGTTTTTTTACCGGTTCCGTCGCCTTTTTTTTGACTGGTTCCGGCTCCGGTTCCAATCCTGGAGCCGTTTTTTTGCCGTTTCCGGTCGCCGTTTTTTTTGCTGTTTCCATCTTCAAGGGACACTTGTTTGGGGAAACGGTGAAACAACGGCCCTGCCGTTTCCGGGGCCCACAAAGGCCTCAACACATATGCACATGGACCACGGAGCGAGAGGTGCGATTTGTCTCAAAGGACGGGTTGATGTCTGCCCGCTTCTCGAGGAGAGCATCGTCGAGTTTGTCAACGGCGTATCTGATGATTGGTGTTGGCAGGTGACCCATACGAGTGGCGTTCTGTGCCCGCTTGCTACATTTGTTGTTTTTTATACCATTCGCAGCAAAATTATTGGCCATGCACAGGAACTTCAAGACATATGACTGTGTTAAGAATAAGGGTTCCTTAGTTCATCATGATGCCTTCTAGCTCGGGTGTGTCTGTTTGCATGCGCCGCCTGTCCCCCCCCCTCCCTGAAAGCAAGCAATTCAAGACATAAAACACGTTCGCTAGCCGAACGCCTGTCGTAGGCGCGGTCGCCACGGCGTGGTGCAACGCGCGGCATACCGCTTGCACACACACACACACACACCCGGAAATAATATACATGTTCCGGTGATACTTGATGTGCTTATGTTTCATCATGTCTTTGTCTCTCTGAAGTGAGGGCACAGTATCTCCTTCTCTTCCCTGTTGGGCAGGGGGCTAGCGTTGGGAAACGGGCTTGAGGTTGGGGGCGACCACGGGGGGTCCTGGAGTCCCGTACCCAGAGGGGGGGGAAGGCTCGCCTTTGGGCGCAGCGGTGACGTAGAAAATCTGGCGCTTAGAAATGCGGTTGCGGCAAGATCTCGTTTTGAAGCGGTGGTACAGGTGCCTGCGGCGAATCGACACAGCGTTAGCGAAGTGCAGTGTGTGCCGATCGTTCGAGCACCGCCCGCAAGGCCGTCACATGTGACATCTCTCGCCCGTACATCTTGAGGGGCTCAGATGGTGCTTGTTAGGACCGTCTCGCGGCTCTCTGGGGCTTCTGTGGGGCAGTCTATGAGCCCCATGGGGCCGTTTGGGGGCCCGCTTGGCCATATGGAGGATCTTTTGGAAACGTCTTGGGGTCCTCCGGAAATCCTCTTGGGCCAGCTTGGGGTTCTCTTGCAGCCGTCCTGGGCCGTCTGGGGACATCCTCTGGGATCCCAGTGGGCGCGTCTGGGGCCTTCGAATACCGCCAGCGCAAACACTGGAAAGAAACATGAACATGAATTTGCTTGACCTTTTGAAGGCCTCCCTCAGAGCGTCTTGGGTTCTCTTGGAGGCCTCTTGGGACTCAGGAGCTGCTGTGTGCCTCTTGGACGAATGTTGGGCCAGCCTGGCGGCCTCGGTGGCCTTCCCCGGCCGCCCCCGAGGATTTGCAGAGCCTCTGCGAGGCCCAGGGAGGCATCGGGGCGCCCAGGAAAGCCTCGGGCGGGGGCGGCGGTGCGTGCGACGCTCCGCGGGAAGAGGTGGCGGGGGGCCTTGAAAGACTTCGGGGACGGGAGAACAAACATTACAGTCAACGCGCATAGTAAGGACAAACGACTTTTTCAAGGGTACCCTTGAGTCCTTGCCTGCCTCAGCCTCTGCGGCCCGTCCCTAGCAATTTCCGCAGGCCAGTTTCTCAGGGTATCCTTGGGGCGAGCGCCTCCAAGGGCTTTGCGTCCTTACCACGCGTCCTTATTATACGTTTTCTGTGTACACCAGAGACGAAACCGAATCAGTGGATGGTGTTCGCTGAGGAGATCGACCAGGAACTCGGGAGCCCGGGAACCCAGCACCCACCGAAATCGGCCCGAACCAACAGGAACCCGGAACTGGGAACCCAGGAACCCAGCCTGCTACCAGAATCGGCGGGGAATGTTCCCCAAATCTTTCAACTTCTGCTAGGGCCTTTTCAATGCAAGCACTGATTGGGGAATACTCAGGAGGGACCAGAAACACAGACACAAATAATCGTCGATTCCCCAGAAAATATGGGAAACGATGGGAAGTGGGAAGACAAAAAACCAGAAGCTATAGGAAAGTATGGGAAATCCTGCTGTTTGTGTGTATTTATTTGTGTGCCCCAGGGCCCCTTCAAAGAAGAGCAGTGACGCGCTGCCGTTGGGAGCCCGTCCGCGTGTTGCTCCGTGGTCGCTCCCCGGTGGCCTGGCGCTGCCCCGAGCGGTGCTCGCACGAAGAGGGCCCCGTCGGACCTCGAGAGCGTGGGCTTGATTAAGTCGAAGGATTGCAAAAAACCCAGGATTGCAAAAAACCGAAGGATTGCAAAAAACCCAGGGTTTTTTGCAATCCTTCGCCGAAGGATTGCAATCCTTTTTTGCAATCCTTCGGTTTTTTGCAATCCTTCGGGTTTTTTGCAATCCTTCGTCCCTCTGCAGGGGGGATATGCAGAAACAGTCAAAACAAATAGTCTGGGGACTACTTTTTGAGCATCTTCCTACCACTTTGGAATCCATCTCCCCGTTCAACGCGCCTAGTAAGGACGCGTGCCCTCACCTAGGATACCCTTGCGTCCTTGCCTCTGTGGCCCGTCCCTTTGCCGTTTCCACTGGCCGCCGCCGCCCAACAAAGAAATCCCAATTTCAGCCTCCAAGGGTCCTGCGCCCTTACCACGCGTCCTTACCATACGTTTTGACTGTATGGCCTGGAAGCCCGGATCTCCGACGATTAAATCTTTTGAATAGGGCGTCTACTATGTTGCTCTGATTTCGGCCCCCAGGGCCTGCTGTGGAGCCCTGGGGCGATCGAACACGCATCCTGGACGGATGTCCCACAAGGAGCAGGCACCGAGCAACACCACACCGTCGGATGTCTGGGGGGTTGACTGTAAGCGTGGGCGAAGGTGTGGCGCCGGTTGCGGTCGGCGGCCGGGCTCCCTGGGTCCCGTGGCTCCCGGGGGTGCCCTGTGCAGGGCCGGTCTCGGTCGGCGGCCGGGATTGTTCGCCAGCCGTTTTGAGGCGTTGGGTCTCGGGTCGGGCGAAAGGGGGCCCCAAAGGGGGGGTTTGGAAAAAGGGGGGGTTACGAAATTTGCTGCATGCAGCTGGTTTCGGCCTCGCCGAGGGGCCCATTCCACGATACATAGCCGCCTCTGGCGCCGGGAAGCGCCAGGAAAATCCGCTACGTGAGCTGATTCTCAAACCACCCCTTTGCTATCCCCCCCCTTTCGCCCGACCCGAGGGTCGTCGTTTGGGAGAGACAGCGCCCCGCGTCATCTCTCCCTCTCCTCCTCGCCCCTCCTCACCACCCGCTGCTCCCCCCTCCTCCCCTCACCATCATCATCTTCATCATCATCATCTTCATCATCATCATCATCATCATCATCATCATCATCAACGACATCATCATCAACATCAAAATCAGCATCAACACCATTATTAACCTCATCAGTATCATTTTACATCACGACAACATGAACCTGTACATGTACATCAACATTAATATCATCTTCATATTCATATTCATTGCTCCTTATCCATCTCCATATCCATCCCCATCATCGTCATCTTCATTCCAATCCTCATCAGCATCATCCTATTCATCATCATAATTGGCATCTCTACCATCATCATCATCATCATCATCATCATCATCATCATCATCATAAGCATAAGCATAAGCATAAGCATAAGCATAAGCATAATCGTCATCGTCATCGTCATCGTCTACATCATCACCATCATCATCATCATCATCATGTTCGCCGTCATCACCACTATCGTCATCACTCCCGTATCGGCACACCCGTCACATTTTTCGTGGAGCCATAGGGAACTCCATCTGAGGTCCACTGGCGCCGCCCGTATGTGGGCGCCCACCCCGTTGCGGCACATCCTTACTATGTTCGTGGCCCCATAAAGAGCTCCGCCGAAGGTCCCAGTGGCGCAGCCCGTATGTGGGCGCCACCCCCGTTTCGGCACACCGCTCACACGCCTCTCGGCTCCAAAGGGAGCTCCGCCTATGGTCCCATTTGCGCCGCCCGTATATTGGCGCCACTCCGTTTCGGCACAACCCGCATACGTTTTGTTCGTAGCCCCGTAGGGCGCTCCACCGAAGACCCCAGTGGCTGTGACCACATTCCTCCCCGCCACCCATTTTCGGCTCACCCCTCACACATGTCGTGGCCCCTACAGGGAGCTCCACCGAAGAGTATCCGCACCACTGCGGGCTTCACAATTGCATACTGTTGGGACCTTCGCCAGGGTAACCTGGAGAAGCAATTAAGAACCCCCCCCTCTCCGGCGAAAGTATAACGCACCCGGCACCCCAGAGACGTTAACCCGGCACCTCGCACCTTTATGTGAACGCAGACGAGTCTGCTCGCCGAATCAAACACACTGCCTGAGTTATTATCGCAATGCTTTGGCTCTTATTCGCCATTACGGATCAAGCCGAGGGCCAATGCCTCAGTCAAGAGGCCTTGGCCCAGCTAAACAGAAAAAATCCTCAAGACCCCATTACGGCACGGCACCAGCACGAACAACGACAATAATGCCAGCAATAAGATTTATATCTAGAACAGCAAGGCCAATAACAACACCAACAACAGCATCAACATCAAAACACACCAACAACGTCAACAATAATAACAACATTAAGTCCTACGCAAGGGAGAGCCCAGCTTTGAAAAGGAACCGTTCGTGCCTACGATGGGGGGCGAATAATTTTGGCGGTGCGGTTGCTAAGATAACGCGCCGTGCGTGGGGAGGGCGATGTCCTCGGATGCACGACCCCACACGACGGCCGGGAAAAAACAATGTTTCAACAGGTGTGGTAATACAAATCGCATAGGAGAAGGATGATGAAGATAATGAGACCAAGCTCTTTTTCTGATTCTGAACATGCTTATCATGTTTTATGATTGTTCTCATTCTTCCTATTATTATAAGTGTGATTATTATTACTGTTTGTATTAGTATTCTTAGTCTGAGTATTTGTTCCATGATTATCCTTACTAGTTTCTGAAGGTGGTTCTTATTATTCTTGTTATTATTATTACTCTTCTCAGTACTCTGATTAGTACTCTTACTCTTACTATTATCAGTTTTCTCATTATTATTTTAATAATGATCAGCATGACTATGATTATTAACAGTATAATCATTATTATCAGTCGTAGTATTATTATGTATATGAGTGCTACCCGCAGCCATTGTACGATTATGACTAGTATTGTTATGTTTATTGTTAGTACTATTATCACTATTACTCTTATCCCTATTGTTATTCTTATTTTCTGTATTATTATTATAGC